GATATATCTAGTGGTGTAAAAGCTAGATGGCTGCCGCGAGAGACAACATGGATGAAGAAATGATGGATATTATCAACACCGGCACTCAATTTGCCGATGGTGACCAGCAGGATGTAGATGACGGGAGTCAATACCTGGCTCTTGAAGATAACCAAGAAAATATTGTGCAAAAAAAAATGGCGAGGTATATATATTTATATATATATTTGAATATTATATATATATATATTTGAATATATATCATCTATTATGTGTACACATGATATTTATTTATTCTGTTTTATACGTAGCCCTCTAGATCGATGACCACAACGACGAAAAGCAAAAATATTCGAGGCCCGAAAAAGCCATTGGAGGAGCACTACATAATATCGAAATTCAATATCGAGACAGGCGAACCACTTGGTCCACATGCAAGGAAATTCGTGAAACACTGTGGGTGCCTTGTAAGGGACAGACTTCCGATCAGTGCCCGTAAATGGAAGCAAAAGATCAACGAGTCTCATGTTAGTTTTGTCTCTGATCTTGATAAGAATTTAATTTGGGATGATATCCTTCAATATTTCACATTACAAGCGGATGATTATGATGCTATCAACGATGATGAATTGAAGGAACTAGTTCGAAAGTGGGTTATGAAGAAGATGGCCACACAATTTCAAACTTGGAAGAAATCCCTATACACGAAATACGTCAAGAAGAACCTAACGCCCAATTTCAATACTAGTGGCCCGCTCGCGAAGTTGAGGTCCTACTGGAATGATTTTGTATAGTACAAGACATCAGAAGAGGGTGAGGAACGGGTGAGAAGGAACCAAGGTAATGCCCGACATAAGGTATACCACCATGGCATGGGATCAGGTGGCTACGCGACTGCCATTCCCAAGTGGAAAAAAATGGAAGCGAACATTCTTGCCAAGGGTATCACACTAGAATCACTCAATTGGCCCAAACGCGCGAAGAATTGATTTTTCGCTCATAGGGGAAGACTAGACCTAGAGACTCGGGAAGTGGTTCATGGCCTAAAACTTGAAAGAACAACACAAAGATTTTCTTATGCTCTATAAGCTAAAGCTATTGGTGCGTTCAGGCCCAATAGAGAGAATGATGAATTGACGTATGCCCTCAGGACCGCTGAACACAGTGGCCGAACGAGAGGTTTAGGACGGAACATTTTTTGGGAGCATGGTTTCTCTAACAATAGAGATACCTACAGAAGCCGGCAGAGAAGGAATGATGAGGATGCACTGACGGATCAGCAGATTGGAGGAATTGGGTTGTGGGTCATGGGAGGCGTTGCTTCAAGCACAGGAGCGCGAAAAAGACATGCAAGCTAGAATGCAGGACAAAATCATAAAGCAAGTGCAAATAGCAATGAGTGCCCAAAGGCAGGCATCAGATCCAGGAATCAACATTAATATTAGCCTCCCTGATCAGTTGAAAAGCAGCTGCGCTTCCACGGAGTTGCCAAATCAAGATGACGCAATGCTACGTTTCCCCGTGGATGATATCACTGCACCGTTTACATTATGTGAGCTACATATTCCAAAAGAGAATGCCACAATCATGGTGGCTCTCGGTGTTTTTTCTCCTCTAGATCCTACTAAGACACCAAGAATCTATGGGGCAATAATACCACCTGGATATGTTAGCGTCTCAGTGGATAGAGTTAACAAAGGTTTTAGTGATCTGGCTCTTGACATTTCAGGAGGTGATGGGGAGAAGACTCTAGGAGAAGCAGAGAAGACATTCATACTATGGCGCAAGCGCTACATCATTATTCCCGGGGTCTCTAGTCCACCGCCGCTTCCTCAACTGCCAGACAATAGGTGCAGATAAAAGTTAACGAAACATTTTTTTCACAAATTTTCTATTGACATGCATGATTAATAATAACAATTTCTTATACCTAATTATTCTTTTTTGTAATCACACAGCAGGGCCTCCGCCAACCTAAGTCCAATTATTCAACCTCCAGATCATCATAGTGCTCCGAGCAATGATTATGCAACGCCGCCACCGCCGCCACCTCCAAGGAGGTCGCCAACGCCTCCAAGGAGGTCTCCACCGCCGCCACCTCCAAGGAGGTCTCCAACACCTCCAATAAGGTCTCCAACGGCTGCCCCGCCTCCCTTGATGATCAAGAAGCAGCCAACTCCTAAGAGGTCCGTCCCGTAAACGAAGCCGTTGGCCCACCAGCCGGCAAAGAAGAAAGCCTCCTCTAATCCAGTCATTCCCCAAAAACTGTCTTATGAGAAAAGTGAAAAGGAATTAAAGGATGCAGTACAAAAACATGTGAAAAGTTTCTTCGAAAAAGTAAGAAAGCAACGAGAAGTGAGGGAGAACCCGGAGAAACTGTACTTCTACCTACCTCCAGATCTTCTAAGAAAGAAGGTGGACAAGAAAAAGCGGGAATCTCAAAAGACCTTGCCAAAATCGGACTACGACCGCTCTCTCACCAAGTCATTTGAGGCGGCGTAGAAAAAGACTAGAGCAGGGAAAGGTGTTGCACAACTCGAACAACAATCGCAACAAACCTCTTGTCATTCGTAATGAATATGGTTCAAACTTAGACTTACCGGACGTCGATTTTGAGGACCTGATTCGGTTTTACGAGGATACTGGTTTGGACCTTGCCCAAGTGCTCGCTGAAGAACCATCTGCTCTGAAAGTGGATCATTGGAAAAAATTTGAACATGGAAAGAGTCTATACAACCCTGGGGCCTTAGGTGAACTGGGTACGCAAATGTACCTGCTAAACAAGTGGTACATGGCGGCGTGTAAACGGGGAGAGAACTTTGTTTCTGTCAGAGTTAGAAACCAACATTACTTCCGTGGTGATGACGTTATATATGTCAAGTTTGGAGAATTACACCAACTATGCCACCTGGACTCTCTCGACAAAAGTCTCATTAGCTGCTATTGTCTGTAAGTGTGATTATTTTCTACTATTAAAGTGTATATATATAAAGCTACATGTATATATATAAATTATATATCCTCACACTATATTTTTATATATGCAGATATGAGATGACAGAACTCAGAAAGAGATAATATAATGATGTTGGTTTCGTTGATCCAAATGCCGTATTCAAACACCCTGATCCCCCGCTTGGATGCAAAGATGAACTCGAGAAAAATCTCATGAGGTTCTTAGTGAACCAATAAAACAAGGACATACTCTTCCCCTACAACTTCAAGTGATTATTAAATAATTAATGTCGATCATATGGACATTTGTTCAATTATTTGCTTACTAGGTAAGCTATCTCCTATATATACATATGTTGACTCTAGTTAATGTCGATCATATTTGTGTATAAAAACATATGCAGCAATCACTAGATATTGATGGTCATCGATATGACCAATAGTTGGTTGAGCATATTAGACTCGTTAAGAAAAGAGCAAACAGAGTACCAAGACATGATAGATATTATCCAAGGATAATTTGGTCTCTCTAGTAACTATATATATCCCGATCTCTTAACTGCAACAATTATTAAAGGCCAAATTAATTTTTTATTTTATTGGGCGCAGTGTTTGAAAAAGTTTCATGGATGAACATCATATGAAACATTGCAAAGCGCCACTGGATGTAATCGCACACAAAGTAAGTACTAGCTATATATATATAATTCAATTAACACCATGCATGCTTTCAATTCACCGGATCTTTTTTCTCGTAAAAGTGCGTTCTGAGGCAAGAACAGAAGAACAACTACTGCGGATACTATATTTACGAGTTCATCATGGCGTACTCAAAAAGAACTCCTGAAGAGAACCTCAAAGTACGTTATATAAATATATTCATCTATTTACAATTTCTTTTATTGCTCATATATATATAAGTAATCACGTGACCAACATATATATATATATATATATTAATACTTTTCCTTTAACTTCTATTGAAAACTCTATGGTTGAAGAAAAAGTCATACAACGTGACCAACTGAAAGTAATTCAAGAGACCATAGCAGGATTTCTTAATGACCAGGTCCTAAACCCCGCCGGCGAGTTCTACAATAACGTGAATGAAACATGTAACCCAAACTAGATGGAGTGAATTTGTTATCCCAAGGATATGATAGAATATACAATACAAGCTTTATTTGTAATATATATATATATATATATATATATATATATATGTACATAAAATAATGTACAATATATGTATATGCATGTAATATATACGTTAGTTTTATACTTCAGTTTGTACAAAATGTTCGAACATTATAAACGTGTAGAATACGTATATTATTAGCAACGTAGAATGCGTATTCGAAAACCTATTCGAAAACCAAAACGATTTTATCAATTGAAAATAGAAAAAAAAATAAAGTTTTTAGTCCCGGTCGATAATAATCGGGACTAAAGGTCGGTCCACGTGGTCAGACCGAGAAACTTTTTAGCTCCGGCGGTTGGTACCAACCGAGGGCGCAAAACTAGGACGGAGAGACCCTTTGTCCAGGTTCGTACTCTCGGTTCCGAAACCGGGAATGAAAGGGTTGGGAACCGAGTACAGCCCGTTTCTCTGGCCGTCCCCGCGGAGCAGGCGGCGCGCCCGCCGCCCTGCCGCTCCCAATCCTGCTCCTTCGTCAGGTTCTACTCCGCCAAGGTATCCGAACAGAAGCGTGACCGTGATTTGTTTCCATGCTTCGTTCTTTCCATATCTGACGCTTCCGGTTCTTGCACTTTTCCAAGCGTGTTCCCGTCGGTTGATTTCTTAGAGAACAAACACCTCTTGTTGACTCGCTAAGATTCATTCTAGCATAATTGCCAGCTTGTTCGCGCAATTAGTTAATTGGAGGTAAAAAAGAACGCTAACTTGATTGGTATTTGGATAATCGAAGCTTGTTCTTGGTAGTTCTGTTCTGAACGAGCGCGTTCTGCTGAATTGGTTCATTTGCTGGTCATGTTATATGAGCTTTGTGGTTTTGATCAATTCGTATCCAATGCTAAGAAGAAATTCGTTATGATTTTTTTCCCAGGAATCCAAAACCAAGGTCGAGGAGCCGCCATCAATCGAGGAGCCTCTGCACATGCCGGCGCGGCGCACCATCTTCCACAACACGGCCAGGGAGCACGGCGCCGTGGACGACTTCGACGAGGGGACCTGGAGGTACTTCACGTTCGACGAGCAGAGCCTCTCAGCACTGAGCCGGAGGCTGCAAGAGGAGACCAAGCACAAGGACTTCGTCATCTGCCGCAGGAGCAGCGGCGCCGCGCCGAGGCTGTTCCCCGTCGTCCTGGACCTGCCGCCCGGCAACGACGAGATGGAATTTGTCCTGGTCCTGGTGCCATCTAGAGGTGCTACTATTACCACTACTGGAGCTCATGGCTCTCCTGAATATATTCCATGCATTTATGCTAATGTTGTGCATCACCTGTAACTGCAGCGGCAAATGATCTTCAGTGGCCATAGGGACGTGACCTGGTGGCACCTTTGACAAGGATGGAGAGTAATTTGTCAGTTTGGCAAGAACTGAACATTTTTGTTCTAGTGTATAGACTGTAGAAGTCTAGAGCAGTGCATAACGGAAACTGAACTTTCTTGTTAATGCTCTGAAATTTCAATCGCCTCGGGGGGTCAGGAAGCTCATTTTGGCTTCGTCCTCTATTTCTGGACACTGAACTTGTAGTTAGCTTGAAACAGACTAGCAGATGGACAAAGGTTGTCAGGAAGGTGTGCTGAATTGTGTTCAGGAATGACCGTGGAGATTCTTTTAGTTAATACATCTCTTGTGAGTTGATATACTTTATTTCTGATGCAGTGATTTTAGTCTGTCTTTGTTGTCAGATTTGGTTTTGCCACAGCTGAAATCGTAGTTAACGATGCTTGAAGCCGAGCCGTTTCAATCTTCATTTGAACAAGCCAAGATCAGAAGCGATCAGTTCACAACAGCCAACTGTATCCTGTACAAGTTCAGGACATGCACGAACATTTGTCCACTGTTTGAGGAAATCTGAACCATTAAATGATACAACATGAACCAAAACCACACTATCCTAGAGGGAACGCTTTGCATCACCCCAGCTATATGATATCTACTGATATCTATTTCTCACTGTCACACCCCCATCCCCCGCACCCAGTATATGAACAAAAACTTCTACAAGGGTGACACTGACAAGATAAAACCATGCAGAATAATGCATCAACAAGCCATTTGGTCCCGGAAAGTTGCTATCTCCTCAAATACAGGCAGCCTCCTTGACCTGAATGGCGTCCACTCATTCATCACAAGGTCTAGTTTAAGCGTGATCTCTTCATGGACACCGAGGCCAACTTCGAATGGCGATGAAACACACTTCAATGGGTTTAGTTCGCGGAGAAGCTGCTCAGCACGGGCGACCACCTTTTCATCTTCTGATCCATAGATTCTACGTAGTCGAACATCCTCGAGTGCTTGCCGTGCCTCCTCATGCCTACCCTGCTTAATCAGGCACAGCCCAAGGTTGCACGCCCTGTTGGCATCAGGCTCAATAGTTTGTGCCTTGCGGTACACCAATTCAGCGGCTTTGAAGTTGTTCTGCTGCATGTAAGCCCAGCCAAGATTGCCCTGTGACATAAACAGGAAAAAATTTCAGTGAGCTGACTAGCTGTGTGCAACTGAAAACTTGATCGACATGCAAATAAATTATCAGTATGGGTAACCAGGGAGCACAAATGGTACCAGAATGCGAGACGTCTCTTGTTGGATTGAGACCTGAAACTTCTTGCCATGGGATCGTGCTTTCTTTGTCGCCTTCCCATTGAAGGCCTCACCAAGGTATATCATCTTCAGCTTCTGTTTCAGAAGCTCAATCTGTTCCTCAACTTTCCCACATTTCTGAAAGATGTGACCAATCAGATTAGAATGTAGGAACTCCTGAGCACTTGTGCAAGATTTGCAGTGGCAAAAAAGGCGTACCTTGTAGAGATGGATGAGGAGGTTGTCGAGGGATTCCTGAGCCTGCTTGGAACAAAGGTGCCTGAAGGATCTGATGGCCTCGATTGCCTCCTGTGAACGATCCTGCTGCTTCATCACCACGGCCATGTCCTTCAGGGCACTGTCCACCCTGTCCCCTGAGTTGATTGCCTTCCAGAACCACACAATTGCCATATCCGGTTGCTTCTCCACAAGCTGATTCATGCAATGAAATAAATATCGTTCAAATTAGCAATCAAGACTGTTTCAGATGGAATTGAGGAAAATCTTGTGTAGTAAGCATAAATTAAGCTGTCACGATTAAGTGCTTAAGTACTTAATTCTAATAATCAGTCATGAATCACATCATTTACTGGACCAGTGATTAACTTATACTACCCGTTTGACCACTCCCCAATCCCCATCTCAGACAACCATGTACTCGACGCCCAATATGGTAGTAGTACAATAGAGTGGGTCAATGAAACAGTGTAACTAAAAGCATAGAACCGAATAAAAAGAACTATCACAGTCAATATCCATATAAAGTAAAAGGCAATCTAACCGTAAAGTTCCAAATACACGATATCAAGTTTCTACTGACGAACAAAGCGAAGACGCTAAGATATTGTAATATAGTGATTATGAAGACATGGTTCATGGCAACAACAGCGTCTACTACAAAGGTGAATCGGCATGTAGTGCACTGAGTACTCAAGGAGGCACCTAGAAACAAACATATGGCACTTGCTTTGATGCAAAATATATTTGCAGTGTCATATATACATAAGCTAACAGTAAAGCTAGGGGTACTGCCATGACGATGCAGTATTGTTATTCCAATCTAGACAGGGATAATTGGCAAGAGCAGTAAGGACTGTAACCTGGAGGTGCTTGGCTATGACGTACGGGCTGTCACCGGCGGGCACCTTGTGGACAACATGGAATAGATCCTTCTTGTCCCCGCCGGCAACACCTCCGCCTCTCCTCTTTGAAGAAGCCATGGTGGCTCAGTGGCTGTGGGGCCGGGGTCGGCTTGGCGAGAGACGAGAGAGAGGAGCAGAGAGGTGGGCGATGAGAACGAGCAACGTCCGCTGATAGGCGGTTTCTTGTCGCGGTTTGCGGGATATGGGGGCAACGAAGAGGGGACCGGAAGGACGGAAGATGACGGGGGAATTCCTCGAGCCATTAAAAAAAAATCACAATCCACCGTGAGTCACTCGAAAAATTTAGCGGACTTGGTTCACTGCTCTAACTTTTTTTTTATCCTTCATGTCATTATTGTTAGATTGAGCTCTAACAGTGTTAAACTACAGATGTAAAAAGTTAAAAATACCCTTAAATCTAAATATGTCATTAATTTTTTTAAGCATCTTAACGATTTCAAATGAAAAAACTCACACCTGGAAAGTTGTAGATCTCGTCGAGATCTATAATTTTCATATAAAAATTATCTTTTTTTAATACAACAAAAAAGATATAATTTTTCTAAGATATATTAATCATATCAAATCATATCTTTTTTTGCGGAATTAAATGAAGATAATTTTTATATAAAAATTATAGATCTCGATGAGATATACAACTTTCTAGTTTTTTTGAGTTTTTTCATTTGAAGTCGTTAAGATGCAAAAAAAAATAATGACATATCTAGACTTAAGGGTATTTTTGAACTTTTCATATCTGCAGTTCGACACCGTTAGAGTCCAATCTGACAGCAGTGACATGAAGAAAAAAAAGAGTTGAAACAGTGACGTTGAAGTCCATGTATCTTTCTCAATGACTTACATGGAATTGCAATCTTTTTTTAATGACTCACGAGTAATTTCCACGAAGATGACGGGGGTGGAGGGAACCTGGACAGGAGGGCGTCCAGATTCCAGGGACGGGGTGGATGGGGACATGGCACCCATCCAGCTGAGCCGCGGAGGCAGGTGGGTGACGTGTGATGATCCGAGGACGGGTGCAACGACGTGCTTGCGGCGCCTTGAGGTTGATGGCGTGGGGGAGAACTGACCTGAGTGGTGATGGACAGAACAAGAAGGTAAATTACTCCGCTCACATCAGCACTGAATGCGTGCAAATGTGTTTGGATCTGCTGCATTTTCTAAATGCATGCTGTTTGATCGGCAGAGTTTAACTGGGAGTGTTCCATGTGGATTTTATCTGTTTACAATTTAATACCTCGTTATAATTAAACATATTTTAGGCATCAAATTTGACTTTTAATTAGCTATTATGGGTCATTTAGGGTTGTTTGGATCCATTACCACTAAACATTAACAGCTAAAATTAGTACTAGTAGATCTAAAAAGATCTACTAATTATTAGCTAGGTAACTGCTAACTATTGGTTCCATTAGCTAGTATGGAGTTGCTAATAGGTGTCAATAGTTCATATGCACCTTTAAGTCACTATCCAACCATCGATTAGCAGTTGGATCTAACGGCCTCTAAATTTTTTTAGTACTAATAGATTCAAATAGGCCTTTACTTATGAACGTAGGCAGTATTTTCCTTCGAGGAGTCTTTTGTATATTTATTTTATAGCAATTCTCCTAGTATTTGTTTGCAATACAAAATTTCAAACCTATACTTAACTTTATTCTTGATGTGTGAATTGTCCTTTTGTATTTCTCTCTATACATACATAATTTTCTACTCCCTCCATTCCAAATTAAAAGGTATTTTAGCTTTTCTAGATACATTATTTTTACTATACATCTAAATATAATGTATATTTAAGTGCATGACTAAAACTACGTATCTAAAAAAATCTGAAACATCTTATAATTTGGAATAGAGGGAATAGTATATTTTTAGTTTTGTCTCTCTCATACAAGGTCAAGCTTGGCTGAATATTTGTACAGAAAAATAATACAACCATGTCTCTCTCGTACAAGATTGACCAGGAGCTCCACCGGCTTTGCTCCTCCCATGCGTGAGCAGCGAGGGTGTCCGTGTGGAGAGTACCGTCGCCAGCCGCGAGAAAATGAAACCGGATGGAACAACAAAGCGGATCGGGTTACTAGATTAGTTTGGACTGGAATTTGCGCTGGGCATGGGCTGGTTGCGGACTAACCGGGCCGAAACGTGACCTAGATGGAAAATAATTAAGAAACTATTTAATTGCCGCTTTGAGATCCGTGTATTTTTTAGAAAGAAGTATACCAGAGCAGTTCTCTTAAAAAAAGGCTCTGACCAAAACATCTGAGGATGATATTGAATTGTGTTGGTTCACGCCAAGGGCTTGACTTGTTGGGGTCACTTGAGAAAGAGTGTAATTGGGATTTTAACTAAGGTTTAGCAGAAAAAATTGGCAACCTTGTCTTGGGTGGTTTTAGACTTAGGATCCATACTATCCTCTACCTTGGTACTATCTCTTTTTTTTCCTTTTTCCCCGTCTAACAGTGCGTTCTTCAATCTTCAACATGCAATGAATGATCAAAGGAAGAAGATGACCATTTTAAACTTCAATGTACTTTTATTTTTTAGAGGTCTTTTTGTGTCAAGTT